CAGGAAATAAAAGTACAATTAAGACATGATATTAAAGAGAAGCATTGATATAACATAATTTTAAACGTCTTCTTTTTCCACCAATCTCAATAATATACTTATATGCGACACGTCTTACATGATGAAGATAATCTTCAAACTCTATTTCACCAGTAGTTAATGCTGTTTTGGCTACACACAAATCGAAATCATCAACAACCCTTACTAATTGACAAAATAGTTTTTCCTGTAATGATTAACTTATCTTGTACATTGCCAACGATGAGCATCCTGTTTGTTTATTCGCTGTAATCCATATTCGTTTCTATCTACATGTAGATGCTTTTTACCACTACGACTATCATCAATTGAAAATTGCATAACTTTTGATTTAAAGAAGAACGAGTATCAAAGTATTGTAGCGTCTCCATTTTATGGGCTTCAATAAATAATCTGTTGTTTTAGACGCTTGGATCCGAAACTTTGAATGTAATCATTAGTCCTCTTCCGAATGAAAAACTGACAACATTCTCACTCTAAGAACACCTCGGAACACTTTCAATTTAGTTTGTAATAGGGAGCTGTATCATCCTATTCTTTCTTTTATTAACAAATCTGATTATTTATAGAACGAAAAAATTTATACTTTTTTCTTAATTAATTGGCTTGCAAAATGAAAGATTAAAAAATATATAAAAAGACAATTAGCTTACAAACTGGAAATGAGTCTATTATTACTATCATTTTCATTTATAACAGAAATGAGAAACTGAAGCATCTTTTTTTTCTTTTTCTTCCTTCATTATAGTAATTTGATTTGGAAAAGAAGGAAAATAGAAACTATAAAAATGTTTACTATTAGTAGATTAGACGATTTTGGAAAACAAAACTCATTTTTCTGGTTAAAAGAAGAGAAAAAAGGGTTTATTAATAAGAGCAGAAAAAAAAGAAAGGCCAAAAGTTTTTAAGAGTGTAAAGCAATCAATAATGATTCATTCTAAACATTATTGTAATCTCTCTATATATAGATATATATGTGTCTGTGTATGTATTGAGAATACAAAAATTGAACTAGAACCGATATGTGTTCAATTTTAACGTAATCTATGGTTATTTTTATGAGCAACAAAAAAGTTGGTTATAGATAAAAAATAAAAAAATAAGATAAGAATTTAACATGAAATAGACGACGCACTTAGCAAAGAAAAAAAGCGATTAAATAATGAAATGTGATCAAGTGGACGAATATTAACAGACAGTAATAAACATCTTAGAGAAGGAAAAAACTCTTGATTTTATCGAGCAAGGAAATCGATTACAAGGCACTTGCAAGCGTTTCTCACTATCCCACAATTTTACCACTAAAAGAGATGATAAATTGTTCACATTTTAAAATACTATAATGTACGTTTTATCGGGGGGAGACGCGTTTAAACGCGCTTTTTCTTTTTTTAAAAAAATATTTTTAAAAAGCTTTTTCAGGTGTGTTTTTAATTCGTAGGTAGGGTGTCTGTTATCCAGTAGAGTGTGCGTCGATTTGAGAAAAGCTCGACTTACTAGAAAGAAGTGAATATTAGATGACAGTGCCATCGAGGGATTCGATCGTGATACCTAGGAATAGAGAAAAAAAGTTATAAGTAAAATACTAAGTATGCCATTCATTATACGCCACTCGGTAATATATAATACCCTATCCTTATCACAACCAGGAGAAGTCTACTTAGCTATCATTCGATATATTAAATGTACCAGTCGTTTTCGGCCGCCTTGATGCTGTGTATTTCTTTTCCTTGCATCTCCACTATTCACCCTGGCAGACAGATTATATTCCACTCTTCTCCCTCGTTTCTGCTTAGATCGTTCATTCAGATTAATTTACTGGATTGCATTCTTACTTTGTTCTTTCTTCTTGCTATATAGTATATTCATTACTGTTTTTATTTCGGTTATGAGCTTTTATATGTATTGTTTTAAGATTCTCTCATGCTTTTTTCTTATGATTTTCTCATGTTTTTTCCTTTTTCTTTCTTTTACTTTGTCACTTCACTTTCTCTCAACATATAATGGGCTAGGCCCGCTTTGTTGTGTAAATTTGTTACGTAGTTTTAAATAAACTGGTTTAGAAAAAAAAAATATATAAACATCACAAATCTAACTTTTAAAGAGTTATTGTTTTAAGCTACTTTTAGGATGGACAGTAACAATGGACCTATTGCATGAGTTAGTCTCGGCTATACCATAGATAGCCAAATCATTTTTCTGAAAGTGGACGCTTAAGAGTTTGAAGGCCATGGTCTATCCGTGAGCCACGCCAAAAGATATCCTACACAGGTACACGTAAAGCTTAAACCTCGAGGTTTGCACTACCAAACAATAAAAAAATATTCATTTTGAAAAACATATAATCAGCAGAGATGAGATCGGTTCATGTTTTTCGGCAACCGAGCCGAATCCAACCGAAACTTTCCCACACCGAACCGAACCGATTTACGAAAAACTCAAACCGAACCGGTCCCACCTCTGATGTGTACTTTTACATGAGTGAAAAATCATAAAATACATATTCGTCTAAACTGCTCTGAAATTGAACAGCGGCGAAGTAGATTATAAAAAAACAGTAATACATTTCACTCCATGTATTGCTACAGACGCGGCTTTTTATGTATAGCAAACCGGCATCTATCCAAAAAACTTGACAGTTAGGTAGTGCATCTCATAAAAGCACTTTTTTACCGTAACTCGTTTCCTTTCAAAGGACACTGTCGGATTTCAAAAGTATGCCGAACCAGAAAGCTATATATCAGGTTTTGTAGAGCTTCTCGAGGCGGATCTATCTTTCTCGGACTCTGACTATCTCTGCTCGGTATCTCTAATAAAAATTTCAACTTAATGGGACAAAATTTTTGAGTGGTTGTACCGGTCGGCAATGAAAAATCTGGTTTCTCAGAAAATGTATGTATGGTCTTTTTAGATACTTCTGAGCAAAAATATGTCGATTGTTTTCTACGAGTTCTAGCTATGCTAAAAATTTCAATCCTATCCGATTCCTCCTTAATCCTGTCCTCAAAAACTGAAAAAAAGCAAGGGATACGTACCCTGAACTATAAACATACTTAAGGATACCCCTCCCCTCTTTTAGCTGACTATGATCAGCTCAAAGTTGTCATTTTGAACTGATCATAGTCTAATGTAGAGGAAAGTCGGGCTATAAAATGATACCACTTCCAGCTCTCCATGACCTTCCTTGAAAAAATTATAAAGTTTTTAAATTTTTTTCTTCAAAGCCTAAAAAATCTCAATTTCATAGATTCGTAAAAATTCTTTTCTTCTTTCCTATATATTCAAAATTTTTTCTTATGTATAGTATGATAGAAGAAAGTGTGCTCTTCAAAATGAGATGTTTTTCAGAATTTTTCGATGAATTTTCTTAGAGATATAAGCTTAGCCGCAAATGCCCTGAAAAACAGAGTTCTGTGTACAATATGTATTTTTCTCACTATGCGTTTTTTCAATAGTCTCTTCACTTAGCACACATTACGACCCCTCAAAAAATGGTCCGATCGAGCTCAAAATTTTACCACGGATACTAGACTCTGTCTCAGGTTTATTTTCTTTTGAAAGCGTTTTCGACTTCAACTTTCGGCGTGAGAAGGTTTTCATAATGAAAAACCGTTTTTTTATATGGGATTTTCAGTGTTTTTAGAATATCTCGGGAAGGAAAGAATATTTTCGAAAAGATAAAAACGAACCTGAGATAGGTTCTGAAGTATCTGTCGTAAAATTTTGAGCTCAATCGGACCATTTTTTCGAGAGGTCGTAATGTGTGCCAATGAAAACTGGAGTTTTCCAGAAAACCCATAGAAGAACAGGTCAGAAAATTCTAGGCAAAAATACTTCGATTTTCTTTTTCGATGTTCTATCTCTGGTATAAATTAGAACCCAATCCGATATCGGCTTCCATAGTTTTTAAGAGGGAACAAATGGAGGGGAGGGGTATCTGTAACAGAAGGGCCAAAACTTAGACCCTTTTCCAACTAAGATGTTAATTTGTTTCGCCAAAAGATGTGCCTTGAAACTCTCTACAGAAAAACGTATCGAGTAATGTATTTCAAAATGGAAATGGAAAGTTATACGAAAAATACTAAGAAGCTTCAAAATCATGAACTTTCTAAAGTTTTTAGCAAATTTAGACTTTAAAATAAACAAATCCCAAACGCCGCCGAAAGGTTTTACTTCGGTAGAGTCATAAGGATTTTACGCAATCGATGCGAACGAAACTGCTGTGGTGAACTCAATCAGTAATGCATGTACAAAAGGACGTCCGGATCTTCGTCTGCACAGTGGGCAAAAAAAAGGTGTTGGACGTATTTTTGATTGTTTCTGAGCAAAAATAAATTGTTTTGTTCATATTTAGATATTTAGCGCTGTATTGTTTCAAAATGTCTCCTTCGATGAAAAAACTTTTCTTTTGCTAAAATCGTGCCGGTCTATTTTTTTAATTACGAAAAATTTTTCTGAAGAGTTGTCGTGTTATACGTCAGTGAATGTAGCTCAATGCGCTAACCAGAAAGATCGTGGGTTGTTGTTTTTTAACTAAGAAATGTTTTCTCAGTGAGAAAAACAAATTTATTCGAAAAAGCAAGGCTTCTGAAAAATTATTCGAGTACAGTACTTCGAAAAATGCTGTACTGTTCACTAGTATGGAAGAGTGTCCTCTCGATTCATTCCTTCTCATTTTGTCCCTTAAAATTTTTTTCTTGATTCGTCCCTGATATACACACATAGTCTAACTAAACTATCCAGCTTTTAAATTTGTTTAGTAAACTTTGTATAAAAAGAACAACAATAATAATTTGGCATCTTTTCCACTCCATGCAAATTTTTCTGTTCTATGAGCTACAATTTGAGATCGTTCGGGAGGAGTAGAAAAAGAAGTTTACTAACCTATATAAACCAGTGTATTCCCGTTTTGTCGACTCATTAATTTTTTTCCTGATCCGTCGACAACATTTTGAGGGGAGATGTTTGTGAGCCGCCGACGGTATAAAGTGTCGACCAAACAGGAAAATCAATTAATGTGTGGACGAATCGGGACTGAACCATATAAACCTACGGATATTACGTTCAGGAATACAACAGTCGTTAAGAAAGTAATTTTCTAAAATACCCACGCATATAATACTATTCTATCGAATCGTTACATGATGAACATTTATATCAACATCATAAACCTGAAGAATCAGATATATAAACAAGAAAACGAAAAAAATTATACAATAATAGTGATAGTAAATTAAAAGAATTACTTCAGAAACATACAAAAGGAACAATAAATAATGTTCAACTGGCTGTTAAATGTGGTAAGATTGTTAAAACAACCCAGAAATGAGAATAAAAATTTATACGGGATGAATTGAGAAATTAATTAGGGACGAATCGAGAGTAAACCTATGAAACTACTGTAAGTTTTCATTTGATTAAATCTGAAGAAAACTCCTTAGAAGTGAGTGTGTCATACAGATCAAAGATCAAAAACCTTTCTAACAGTAAAATAACCTAAGTTTAAGGCTGCATCACAAATCGAAGATTTTACTTTATCTGTAGAAAATACTAGTAGCATACTTTATTTTCTCTTAGCTATATTGTTAGTAATCAGATTATGGACAACACTAAAACGTGCAAATAAATGTAGAATTGTTTAATTTATAAAATTAGATATCGTTAGAGTCAAACTCTTGACAATAAATTCTGTCTTCTGAAGTGAATGTCCATTATAGCCTCATAAAATTAATTGTGAACTATGCTTCAGAGCGGTCGTATTCCTTCACAAAAATTTGTGGGTCTGCCATTAATCTCAACGATTGTTCAATCAAATCTGAACGTATATATCTGTTAATGGACGAACAAATATAGTTATGCTTACCTACTGATCTACACGAGTTCTTGTTTTATACGGTTAACAAGTCACAGGTAATTTTTTATTAATGACATTAATCATCAGTATTTTTCTTTGTCTCTCCTTTCTCCTCAGTTCAAATATCTATATACTTTATTTTTTAGAGGCTTTCTTCTATTCTTTATTGCTGCACTATGGGCTTTTTAAAAAAAACCAAGAAAAAAAAAGAAATGGAGAGAGAGAAGAACAACATAGAATACAGTGAAAATATCTGTTGATCGAAAAATCCTGTAGCATCTATACCATTGATAATCTAAGATAATATTATTTGCATAAGAATGCAAAAGTAGAACAACAGCAAAAAATGCAAGAACGTTTAAAAAATGTCACGGTACTGTTGCAAAAATATGTTATGACTGTCATAGAGAAACGACTTTCTTTGGATATACCGTGATATACAAGTGTACAGAGTATACATGTTTATATTCTATTACGATATTAAGATTATTAAAGAGAAAGAGGAAAATCTATACACATTTTCGAATAATTATCGACAAGCTGTAGTTCATTCATGGAACTACAACAAATGGAAAAATCAAACCTGGATTGATAGAGAGTATGAGAAACAGAAAATATTTTCCTCTCTTTCTCCATTGATTATGATTAAGACAAGAATAACTTACAAAGGGCATTCTACAGACACAATTATGACATGTTACAGGTTTGAGAACACAAACATATTTCCGTCATACAAAAACTAACATCTCTATTATAAATAGTTGTTAATAATTTTTTTTTGCAGAACATCAAGAAACTCTAGAAAATTTTACATAGAAGACATAAATTACGAGAAGGTGTATCACTTTTTCGCATTTAGCAAAAAAGAGGTGTATTTTCTACTCACTACCGTTCTAATACTTTATATATACACTTTTAAATAATACACTGCAATCTAAATTTGCCAAAATGATGTTTTAAATAGTCCTACTTAGTTACGAAAATATTTCTTTAATCTATAAATGGCATTAATATGTGTCCGCTCTTATCTGATACTTTATAATTTCAGTTAAATTCTTGAGAGTCTACTCTGTATTTTTGTTTATACATTTTTTTTAGTAATTATCACATAATTGCACTACATAATTATCAAGAGGTTTTTCTTCAGGAATTATCTCTCGTTCTTGCCGCTCTTTCTGTAATTCACATCTTACAAATGTGTTCATTTTAAAAAATAAAGCAGAAATGTGGGGTTGACTTCATTTCTCTTGTAAGTGATAGAAAATCAATGTATTTATGCCTGACAAGATTTTCGATAGTTTAAAATTTTGAAATTCCTTTCTTCATAGTCTCTGTTGTATATAGTTACTAAATTCTCTAATGCCTAAAAGTCAGCATTATCTACGAAAATGTGTCAATAATTTGCACAATGATTGGCACGGAGATACGCTACGTGTTTTAGTTACAGTAAACTAAGATAAACAAGTCTCGAAGTCTGTATTAAATATACTGCGACAAAAGTAACTGTTAGAAAAAAATGGAAAAGAAACGATATCATTTGCAGATGAAGCCAAGTACCTTATTAAAAAGCTTCGAGGCATAAAATTTCCG